TGAGCCCTCTGATCTCCTATTTGAGACTTATCACTTCAGCCACCAATGATTCAACTTGGCGAGTTCGAGCAAATAGGCGTTGGGCCATATTAGACACAGAACCTGCACACTGAACACTGAGAGCCAAAGAATCCTTAACAGCCAACTCATCAGACCGTTTGGAAAGTAGTCTGTTATCTTTGGGAGTGAGAAGGTTCCTGGCCACCACCGCAGTGGTCATATCATTTTTTATCACAAAGTCCCCAACGGTAAGAGGACCAGTAGGGGATAAGAATGATGAGCGTCATATGTTGTCTTGAGAAGGCATGGCTGCCTCTTTACCAAAGTTCAAGTCAAAACGACGGTCGGATAGGCCAGACATTCTCAGAAATGATGAAGGAGAAATGAGGTGCAATAAATCTCTGAAGTAAGAGGAAAATTCCTACAAGCAATAACTCTCATAATGAACTCCTTGCACACAATTGGTGCCCTTATAAAAGAAAGGCAATAGGGCCGTTGGTTTAAAAATCGAAGAGGTACCACTCTCTGGATTCTGAAGAGGCACCACTCTCCGGATTTCGAAGAGGCACCACTTTGCACATGCAACATCAGCTCCTCGGGTACCACAGATAACTTTGCCAAAGATCTCTGACAAAGTTTATACACATAAATTTTGAAGGTCCAGCTACCCTACTATTACCCACAAGGGTAAAGGAATAGCACCACAGCTTGATAACTAGAAAGTCCCAATGTGTGTCAACCTCCGTGCTTCGTGGCAAGGCAGACTGGCAAAAATGCCCAACCTTTACTCACATTCGAGAAAACACTCCCAACAAGATTGCTTGCTCAAAAATCGAAGAGGAACCACTCTTCGAATCTCAAGAGGCAGACTCCCAACAGGATTACTTTCTCAAAAATCGAAGAGGCACCGCTCTCCGAATCTCAAGAGTCAAACTCCCAACAGGATTGCTTTCTCAAAAATCAAAGATGCACCGTTATCTGAATCTCGAGAGCTAGATCCCCGACATGATTGCTTGTCCGAAAATCGAAGAGGCACCGCTCTCCGAACTTCGAGAGCCAGATTTCCTTGGATAAAGCTTGTCTGCAATCTTCACACGCAACATCAGCTTTTCAGATACCACAGACCACTTTTTCAAAGCGCTTTGACAAAGTTAAAACATGTGAAGCTTGCAGCTCCCACTACATTGCTATGACCAAGAAGGGTAAAGGAATAGCATTATTACTTGCTCAAAAATCGAAAAGGCACCGCCTTCTGAATCTCGAGAGCCAGACTCCCAACATGGTTACTTTCTAAAAAATCAAAGAGGCACCGCTCTCCGAATCTTAAGAGCCAGACTCCCAACAAGATTGCTTTCTAAAAAATCGAAGAGGCACCGCTCTCCGAATCTCGAGAGCCAGATCCCCAACAGGATTGCTTGTTCGAAAACCAAAGAGGCATTGCTCTCCGAACTTCGAGAGCCAGATTTCCTTGGATAAAGCTTGTCTGCAATCTTCACATGCAACATCAGCTTTCTAGATACCATATACCACTTTTTCAAAGTGCTCTGACAAAGTTAAAACACGTGAAGCTTGCAGCTCCCACTACATTGCTATGACCAAGAAGGGTAAAGGAAGAGCATTACTACTTCTTGTTAGGGAGACTCCTATATATGTCGACCTCCATCCTCCACGGACAGGCAGACCTACAAAAATGCTTAACCCTTCCTCATATCTGAGAGGGCACTCTCAACGAAGCTTTTCGAAATACTCAGCTTTCTTCCCCCCAATAACACCTATGCAAACCAGCCACACCAGAGCAAGAGTATCTCATATCATCAAGGTCAAAAACAAGAGTATCCCAAATCATTCTTTTTCCTTGTCTTTTCCTTTGCCCTTGTTCTTACCTGTAAGACAAGGAGAAAGAGAGCAATCAGTTAGCACTTGGAATCAAGCTTCCAGTCATGAACTGACTGCCTGGAACCCATTGCCTGATTACTTACCTAGCATTGCTCTCGAGTACTCATCTTCAACATCTTATGCTTCCAGAAAAGATACCACATTTGCCTGAGGAACAGATAGGCCAAGTGAGAAGGATACAAGGAAGCATGTGGAGACAAGCGCAACAGAACACATGCCGATTCATCTATTACTTCGTCAACAGCAAAAGTATCCCATATCATCAAGGTCGAATGCACTCTTGATTTGATGGACTTGTTCTGACCCTCAAATTCTTAAGTCGACCTTATACTCTGGAGGAAACCAGAAAACCCTTCAGCCCAGTTCAAGAATAAGCTTTTGGAAAGTTACTTCTTCAAAAGAAAAAGTATCTCATATCATCTCTTCTTCATTTGCTTCTCCTTATCCTTATTGCTGTTTACGACATAAGGAGAAGGAGAATAATCAACCGGAAGCCGAAGTCGAACCTCCGATCCAGGTTGCTTGCTTGGAAGTCTGATTGCTTACCTTGTCTGTTACCTCTTTTGGCAAATCTCCTAGCTCGGCGACTTGGGGGACTCCTACTATAGTGTTTTGTATCGCACTTGACCAAGCCCGAAACTACAAGTAAGCTTCAAGTGAAATTGATACATTACCTTGTGCATCTTCATCGATTAAAGATACCACCACTGGATGGAGGAAAAGTACTTCCAGAGAAGATGCCACATCTACGTATGAGACACATAAGGCAAGTGAAAATGATACCACACTTCGGTACTTAGAAGTTTCGTGATTACTCAATGGCTTGGATCTTGCAAGTCCCCAACCGAGGAGCTTCCCTCACTCGAGAACTTAGGGGAGCACTGCTTGTACCATACTTGACCAATCCTGAAACTACTGAGCACCCGTCAATGTTATACCGTCAAGAACCCAGAAGAGTTTCCCTCCAACCAGGAGGCCAATCACAGCGCGACACGTGTTGACATCAGAAGCCAATCATAGCGCGACACGTGTCAACATCAGAAGCCAATCACAACACGACATGTGTCAATGTCAGAATGAAACTAGAAACTCTCTTCTATAATTAAAGATCATTCTCTCACAATATTTCCTAATGTCATTTGTACTAAATCATTCACTAGTACTCACTAAAGGAGAGCTTGAACTTATGTACTTGTGTAAACCCTTCACAATTAATGAGAACTCCTCTACTCCGTGGACGTAGCCAATTTGGGTGAACCACGTACATCTTGTGTTTGCTTCCCTGTCCCTATCCATTTACTTACTTATCCACACTAGTGACCGGAGCAATCTAGCGAAGGTCACTAACTTAACACTTTCTGTTGTACCAAAGTCCTCGCTGATTTTGTGCATCAACAAATTTAATTTAAATTAAAATCAAACAATTCCTTTCCGCCAAGTGTTGACATGTGTCCTCTTAATGATTCATCCAGTTTTGATAAGCCACATGCCATGTGTACGATTTGTGAGATACATGGTACATGCCACGTAAGTCCTCACATGTTGAAATTTAATGCATTGGTGAACATTTATTTTCACCGAAATTTGCATGTTCTACAAAACGGTTAAAAAAAAAATCAAATTGTAAAAGCATTAGGGCTCCGCCTTCACCTTAACAATCCTATGCAGTTTTACCAATTACTTATGGATTACACATGCAATTTTGAAGGTTAGGTTTTCCTAAAGTATGATCTACTTGGACCTCTAACATATATCAAACATGCAACCTGTCAAGTCGTTTGGATCGAATGTGGCATGAAAGACCCATTAAGCTTTATGAAAACTCTTTGAAAATCTATGCAACCCTCAAGACATGGTATTCATTCTAAGTGAGATTACAATTATTAACTACAAGAAGCCGTAGCCATTTTAGGGAAACTTGCAACCATAAGAATCACTCAATTTGTCGTGCTCTTGATACGGTTAAGTGATCTTCTCCGCAGCTGCTGGCACAGAATTAATCGATACTTATTCCCTAGATACCATCATTGCTTCTTCACTGGAAAAGAAGTTCACGACCTGTAGGCCTTTTGCCTCCACGTGGCATTGCTCTTTCAAGCTTGCACCCATGGCAAAAAATTCCCCATTGCTGCCTCCCGTAAGAGTCTGGGCCATGTCTCAATCCCAGTGTGGCTAATCATTCTCTTATACCAGCAACTGATCATTACCTTGGTAAGCTATTACCTCATAAACTAGCTAATTAGACACAAGCCCCCCCCCCCCATGCGCACATGGGTGGATTCCTCTTTTTACTCCTTAGCATACGGGGTATTAGCAGCCGTTCCAGCCATTGTTCCCCTCCCAAGGGTAGGTTCTTATGCGTTACTCACCCGTCCATCAAACCATCCAATGTAAAGACGGTTTTCAATGTTGGTTATCTAGTTAAAATCTTGGTTTATTTAATCATTAATCATCAGGGACTCCCAAGCACACAAATTCTCTATAAATAGATAAATAGACGTTTGATCACTTTTTGCTCAAGAGAAATTCACATGTCCAACATTAAAAATATAAATCAAAGTATCAAAATTTTATCAAAATAAATACCAAAACATACTAAGAGTAAAATATATAATATAAAATCGACTTATCAATGAATATACAGTAGGTGTGCAAAAGAGTGTATGCAGCAATAAGTTACATATAGTGTGTTTTCGAGAATTCATGTTCCCATCACTATGTCAAAGTAAATTTAGGTCATACATTTAAGAAACACTTATTTAACTGAGCTGTCTAGTAACTAAACAAATAGTACTTTTATGAGAAACCATACCGTAATTAGATGATTCTTATTACTATTTGTTGTCATCCAAAGCACTCCCTCAAACTCCCCTATACAAGTGAACTTTACCATTATCTAAACCCTAACTAAACAAATAGTACTTTTATGAGAAACCATACCGTAATTAGATGATTCTTATTACTATTTGTCGTCATCCAAAACACTCCCTCAAACTCCCCTATACAAGTGAACTTTACCATTATCTATGAGACCCAAACTACATAGGCACAATGAAGACAACAAAGATATCGTGTCCGTTGGGATTTCTAAAATAAAAACACAATCATGGATATGGAATTGATCTTTTGTAATGCCAATCTTGAGCGAGAGAGCGTAGGGTATGATTAGGGATTAAAATCTTATTCTCAAACTTCAAATTTGTCATCGGCGATGTATCATGCCCCAGTCGCAACCATTTTCCTATGGCTTCTTGCTCGTACGAAAATCCATCAGCCGCTATATGTGGATCCTTCATTACTTCCTGTATCCAAAATAAACATATTTGTGTCATTGTTTACTCTAGTGAACACCAACAAAAGTGGTCTCTACATATAGGGGTTGCAAACTCTTGTAAAATAAAGTAGGTTGGCAGACTTGAACATATCAAAGTTTACTAAAACGATATGCTTCCACGAATCTCTCTCTTTGGAATTGAGATTAGCATAGAATGAATATTGCTCGAATAAGAAAAAAAAAGTATGTTCATGCATTGAGAGGGCCAAGACACCCAAATACTAAACTAAAATTTTAGCATGCTCATATAAGTGGGTAAAGTGCATGTCTTTCTTTAATATATTCTAGTGAATAAAATATTGGGTTTTCTATATATGAGTCTTGAGTTTGAAATTCTCTTCTTCCTACCTAATAGTTTTGAATCCTTCTTTGATTTAAAAAAAAAAGAAAAAAAAATATAATAGTTTTGAACTCTTCCCCCTTAAATAGTTTTTTAAAAAAAAAAAGTTGCAAAGCGAGAATGCTAGGTAGTGATGCTACATCTACCACGCATTTGTATCATCCCTCTAATAGATGTAGGACCCGCAAATAGATGTGGGTCACATCTCTATTAGAGAGATGGTACAAATGATGATACAAATATATGGTAAAAATAATATTTTTTAATGCTAAAAGTTTTAATATATTAGTTTAACTTTTTGTTAAGTTGTCTCTTTTTTACTAAATTCAACCTGTAACTGATGATACAAATATGTGATAAAAATAATATTTTTTTAATGCTAAAAGTTTTAATATATTAGTTTAACTTTCCGTTAAGTTGTCTCTCTTTTACTAAATTCAGCCTATAACCATTCATCCAATTAATTTAACTCGTGGGCAATGTGGGGGATAGCTAGTCTGTTAGGGATTGATTTTCGAGAATTTCAGCTAAAATAGTTAAGAAATTTAGGTCATCTCACCCACAAGGCTTAAGCATAGCCTCATCTAGAATTATATTCTTGCAAAATATTATTTCTAAATACACAGTAACAGATCATACTCATATATCATCTTCAACCGAAAGAGACTAAACATAGTCCTCTCAATAATTTATTAGTTTTAAGTTTATACTTTAAATTTATTTGTTCATTTAACTATATTACCGTTGGATATTTTCAAATTTAACCGTTGAATTTGAATCAATTATTTCAAATAAGAAGCTCGGGCCAAAAAAGGGCTAAGAGGGGGTACATTTGGAGCTATGCTGTTGGAAGCAATATTTTATCATTTTTATGCTGAAGTAGCCAAACGGGCTGGAATAACCAACGTGTTAGAGATGTTCTTAGCTCAAGAGTATAGTTCGAAAGGACCCGTTTAAAATGCAGTTTATGATCAACAGGACACGAACACAAAAAAGATCGATACTTTTTAGGTCTACCAAAAATGGTGAGATATTAAACTCTAACCTGAAATATGGGGCATATGAAAACACTTGGGACATCATTGGTGACCTCTCCATGAACAATTCCCTTAATATTCAAGCCAGATCCTCCTCTTGCTACTAAAACATCAGCCCTTTTTCTGATTTCACCAAGCTCCTCCATTATTCTCCTTAAATCCCTATTGGGTCCATTGGTAATGGTTAAACACCTTAACACCAAGCTCACAAGTTCCTCTGCCAAATCCAATGGCCATTGCCCAGCCTTCTTATCTAAAACTCGAACTAATCCTTCCTTGTCCATTAGCATATCCTCATCAACCCAGTTCCTTCCAGTTAGAAGATTGAGAGTCAAAATCCCAAAAGCCCTTATGTCCCATACAATGTGGCTTTCGTCGTACAAGGATTGGTTGAGCCCTAAACCACTGACCTTGACCACGAGATTGCGGTCGAGGAGAATGTTCGATGGGCTGAGGTGACCATGAACAATGGGTTTCGGCCGAGCCATGTGGAGGTAGCATACTGCGGAGCAAATCTCCGCTGCAATGCGGATGCGGTCGTGCCACCAAAGGTCCCGGGCGAGGTTCTTTATTTCATGGGAGGAAACTAAGATGTCCCGTAAGCTACCATTGTGCATGTATTCGAAGACAGTAGAGTTTGGCTGGGAGCAGTAGCCCATCATAGCAAGCACATGAGGATGTCTAATGTCGCTGATGAGCTTCACCTGCACATGAAAATTAACCCTTATCTTGAACCTATATAATACGTAACGACGTTAAGGCATACTTGGTCATGACCAATTAGAAATTGATAATCATAAAATTGCTAGGATATTTGACATTATAAAATGTTTGTATTTTCGAATTGTAAATACTATCAATCATGAAGGATCTTGTTTAGATATGTAGTCGACATACACAATTTGGCAGTATAAGCATATATTTAAAAACATAAGTCTGGCAAGAAAACATTACTTTAGTAATTACTGCAACGTGTACATCCCATGAATATTTCTTTAGCAATTTATTATAGCAGTTACCTTAGCCTGAAAATCTTCTTGGGACAGTCCATAAGCTGAGTTAAGAACTTTGATAGCTACTGTGACATGATTGATACGCCCTTTATAAACACTGGTCAAATCAATTCCTGATTTCAATCTAAAACGCTCTGAAAATTTGTCGGTGGCCAGTTTGATCTCCTCATCTGTGTACTCTCTGAGACAGCAGCTCAATTCACTCAACCCTTCTGTCGTTTCTGTGGCATCCTTTTGTCTACAAAATTCAATCCTTCTTCGAAAAACATCTCTTTCTCGTCGTAGTACTTCAATGTCTCTGACCATGTCTACACGTTTCATCACTTCATTCTCCAGCTGGACCTTCGCTTGTGACTTCGCCATTTTGGAAATGTGGAGCTTGTGTGAAAGCTCAGATTGAAGCTCTATGAGTGACCTTATCTTGTTCCTGCTTTCTTGGATGTGCTTAACTTCTGCATGGAGTTGTTCTTTTTGTGTGTCTAATTCTTTTTTCAACTCTCTTCTGTTGTCACCCTCTTCTTTAACATGAACGTCTAACTCTTGAGCCTACGAAAACACTTTCCTTTTTAAACCATATAAAGTGGAAATAAGAATAAATCAACAACTTAAGGGAGTAGTTTGAGTACTATTTCTTTTCTAATAGTTTGACATATTATGTTGTGATATTTTTAATAATCATTCGATTAAATGAAATCATACCTCAATATGTGATTATATATACGAGTTATCTGGGGACACATGCGCTTGACACATATTTTGACACTCAATTTGTAAGGCTCAATTCGTAATGTATTTCAATGATCCAAACTGTAATATTTAGTACATCAATCAGAGATCATCCTTGCAAAAAATTTGACAAATCTAAAACCTTAAGACATTCATTTATAGTGAAAAAAATTAATGAATACGGTTCTACAAGGAAACACTAAATTAATTAGTCTAACGATCATACCATTTCAGATTTGAATGATTTTTAGTGGACACAAGGTAAGGCATAAGAGATGGACAGTTGAATTTTTAAAATATATTACGGAGTGAGTTCTACAAACACGTGTGTCAAAATGTGTATCAAAAATATATATCACCGAATGGGAAAGTTCATTTATGAACTCTCTATTCGGTTCCAACCAGAAAGTGTCTGACACTAATGGGGCGATAGCTCAAGCCAGGGAATCAAGGTCTCATCACGATCCGAACTCAAATGAGAGACTGAACCACATGATTAAGAATCATGTATAATGGTGATGTCATTATTCTCAAGGTTGCTTCTATGGATAACATATAGATATCCATTGTCTAGGCCTACTACTCAGCTATTTATGAAATGACTACAGAAGAGGTATCATCACTGATGACCAAGCTGATTGGCTCTAGTGCAAGTGGGAGATTGTTGGAAATGTGCCCTAAAACCAATCATGATGATACTTTACGATCATTTCACATGTTAAACTAATCTAGTTTAATATCAAGGGCAAAAATTATTGTTTGAGCCGTCTCATATAAATGTTATACGCTTAAACGATAAGTCCAAGGAATATGTGATTGGGAGAATGCGATCTAAAGAAGTTAGATTCATGAGACCATTCTTTCGTAGACACATCCTAAACGTTCCTGATCATAGGATTGCCAATTGGGCATTGACAGTCCGTTAAGATCAGTACGTGCTGTGTCTTCTCTCAGGTAGAGTGACTAGTCTCGAGTCATTGGTGTGTGTGACATCAAGACAAGTACATAGGTGCTCAATAGAGAATGAGTTCACTGAACACGATCAACGAAGAGTTCTCATACTCATGTCACATGAGAACTCATGGTTGGAATAATGCAAAGTAGTCCTTTGACCTGAGGCATCATAGTTGTCTTGTGGTTAGGTCCTTGATCTTTGATTATGTCAAAGTCACCCAATCTGCGGGTGTCCACGGCATCGTCGGGGTTAAGCCACTTAGCCATGGAGGCAAGTGAATGCGCAACAAGGGGTCTCTAACCTTCAAACCGTTTGGGGGAGAATACTCTATGATATGATTAAGAATCTCTGGGCAGAGTATGAATGAGATTTAGGAAGTCGTTCCAAATCACATTCAAGGTAATCATATAGCACACGAATCACATTGGATAGTAGACATGAATAAACTATCAAACCAAACAATGTGGTCAAGAGTATTGTATTAGAGAAAGACCGTATTGCATTTGTAATCCTAAACTGAATAGGTTCTCCACCTCTTCTGATTAGCTTGGGTAACCATGATATACTGCTAGGTGTCACTCATGGTTTGTGGAAGCCCTAAACGTGTATAATCACTAAAGGGAGAATTGAAAGTAAGTTTCAATTCACAATCGATTTGAAATGGTTTTAATCGCCCACTACCTCGCTAAAAAGAACCTAATGGATCGTACACCGTGTAAGGTGGAGATTGAAGAAACAATGGAGATGAGTAAGAATAATTAAATGGTTTAATTATTTATGGTAAGGATTAATTAATATGTTAATTAATCAAACGAATAAGTTCGTTAAAGACCTCGGGATAGTTTTGGACCTTAAGGCCCAATGGGCTTCGAACGTCAAGCCCATTGACTTAAGTTGTATGACAACTTAATGAATAATGATTCACAAAGGCCTAATTAGCCCAATAATACCCTAAGGCCGGCCATTTAGAGATGGAGTGAGTTTTGGACTTATTTACAAGTTTGCCAGTCCAATGAATTAAGGTATAAATATGACTTTATAGCCAAAATTTATTTAGGGTTTTCCTTTGGGGAAAGGATGAGAACATAAGCTCTCCTTTCTCTCTAAAGTGGCCGGCCTCCTTGGAGGGTTTAGCTAGCAATCCTACTACTCCAAGGTCACTCATTTCTTCTCCAATCTAACCTTGGTGAAGAGACTTAGAGGTTCTCAATTTTGGGAAATTGGAGAACCATTTCATCCATCCAAATCCATAGATCTAAGATGCAAGGAATGAAGGCCCTCTCTTTGGGTGATTAGCCTTTGCTTATGCAAAGAGGAATCTACAAAGGTATAATTTCTCAACTACCAAATGTTGTTTTAAGTTGAGTCAAGGTTCACCAATCTACTAGGCTTTGAATTTCATGGTTAATGTTTTGTTTTTGAGTGCATGCAAGCATGATTCCACCTTTTAATTATTAATTGCATGCTATAGATGTTGCTCAAATGAACATGTTTTTCACAATATTTCCTTCACCAGTAGATGAAGGTAGATATCAGAGATTGGTAGAAAGACTAATTTATTTAGCTCACACTTCCGGATATAGCCTATGCAGTGAGTATAGTAAGTCAATTTATGCACTCGCCGAGTGTGGATCATATGGCGGCTGTTATGCAGATTTTTTAAAAATCTGCCCTAGGCAAGGGAATTTTGTATAAAAATTTCGATCATTTAAGAATTGAGGGGTTTACTGATGCTGATTGGGCAAGTGATGTAACTGATAAGCTTTCTACTTCTGGATACTTTACGTTCGTTGGAGGGGAATGTAGTTACTTGGAAGAGTAAGAAACAAAAGGTGGTGTCTAGGTCTTCTGTGAAGGCCGAATTTAGAGGCACGGCACATGGAGTGTGTTAAGTTCTTTGGTTACGTAAGTTGCTTTAGGGTCTTGGTTTCAAACAAAATGAGGCAACAAATTTGTACTGTGACAATAAGTTGGTGCGAGAGATTGCAAAGAACCCGGTACAGCATGACAGAACAAAGCATGTGAAGGTTGATCGACACTTCATTAAGGAAAAGCTTGAGAAGAAGATTGTCAATATCGTTTGTGAACTCGGAAGAGCAACTTGCAGATAATCTCACTCATGCTGTGTGTAGTAGGCTTTTTAGTGACTCACTTATCAAGTTGGGCATGTATGACATCTATGCTCCAACTTAAGGGGGAGTATTGGCGTGAGTAATCTTTAGGAAAATAGGAATGTAAATATTAGAGTCCTTTAGTAGGAAGGATATCTCTTTGTGTTTTTTTTTGTTTTCCTTAAAGAACAAGAACTGTATGTACTTATAAACCAAATTATACAATACATGAAATTTAAGTCGTAAATTTTTATTACAACATCTCCATAGGAGATGTCAAAACTACTACGTAGACATACAACAGTGAAAAAATGGCAGTAAACTCTCTCCAACCAAGCCTTCAATTTCTTACGTGGCGCTGGGTCAATTGAAGGTAAAGCCTTTTACTGTCAAATTTGACAGCAAATGTCAAATTTATTAAATAATTTTTTAATAGGTTAATATTATATAATAAATATTGTTGTGTTTTTCATGTAATTGATTGGTTGCTTCAATTATTGTACCCCACAAAAAGATAAAATAAATTATTAAATGACATTATTATTTAACATATCAGGTGGAATAAAATATTGTACAAAATGTCAAATATTATACACCTCTTTTAGAGATGCTCTTAGTCGTCCATTTATGGATAATGCTTGCAATTCCCCCTTAGGGAGTCGTGCTCTTGCAAAACATATCTTCACCTTAAAAATGTCATAATCGGAACTGCTCAATATCTTATCTTCATTTGAAGATGATCCCTACAAAAAATCATTCAAAGTAGATATCATTCAGTCATTCAAATGTATCAGATAAATCAATAGTATAAATAGAAAGTCATGATGAACCGCGATTTTATTCCATATATTTAGATGACTAATGCACGATTCGAATAATTTTTTGTAGGAATGAAATTCAAATAAAGACTAGAAGATTGAATGGTTCCGATTGTAAAAATTTGCAGTGAAGATACGTTATACGTTAGTGGGAGAATAAGCTCGTTCCCTAGAGGGGAATGTAAGCATTATCCTTAGAATAATGAAATAAGATGTTAACAAGTTTTTTTATTTCTAATTTAGAACCGTAAGTGCATTGGTAAATTTTTTTAACAAACTAAGTTATAAGAGAAATGCTAAGGGGACTCTCTCAAAGTGGGACTCTTCATGGATTGGACGACTAAACCTTAAACTTTTGCCAAAAAAAAATGAGGTGCCAAAAAAGTCCATGGAGAGTCCTACTTTTTAGAGAGTGTATCCTTAGCATTTCCCAAGTTACAAAACTCTTGCGTTGTCAAAAAATTATTACTTTGATTTTATTTGAAAACTTAAAAAGTTGCCCAAAAAGAACAGAAAACATAATAGTTAACATACGCACCATAATTAATAAACAAATTTATCTAGTTTCATATTATTATTCCTAGGATAGTACTTGCAACCCATCCATGCGAAAATGTACATATCACATGCCTTCCGAATAACATTATTTGCCGTACAAATTTCATAATCGAAACAATTTAATTTTCATCATTTAAAAGATCATTCTAAGACCATCCCCAATAGTTGGGATAAAAGCCAAATTTTTTAGCCCGGAAAATTTAGCTTTTAGCCTAGAAACAGCTTTTCTACTCCAACTCTTCTGTCCTAAAATTTTAGCCCGAGATTATTAAAGAATTAACTTAGGCTATTTTTTTTCTTAAAGTAATTTAAAAAAAATATATGTAGACTATCGTAAATTAATTTTATGAACATTTTAATCTAAAAATATTTAAATTCTGATAAATATTGAAAAATCACTAAATTTTCCACAAATCAAGCCTTCAACTTTCACCAATCTTTCAACCCTTGGCTAACCTTCAATTTACCAACCGTTCCACACCAAACTTTCAAGGTTCACCAACCGTTCAACTTTCATCAATCATCCTCTATATAAACATATGTCCAATATTAGTTGATCACACAATAGTATCTATATTCAATCATCCTCTATATTCACCAATATTTCAAATTTCAAAGAGTTTTTATTTCCTAAAAATCCTCAATATCTCATCAATGGGTGATAGAAGAAGGCATAGCATGGCAATGCAAATGGCACAATATCAAGCAAGGATTGAGATTAAAGATGCAGAATTGTTCAACGCCAAAGATGAACTTGTAAACTCGTTTATGAAATTTGAACACCATGGCGAATCTAGCCATCGCGGTTCTATCACGGGGAGTTCATATGTGCAGCGTGATAAAGAAGAATGTCATGACCGAATGATGAAAGATTATTTCATCGAGCGTCCAAGATTTCTTGCTCATGATTTTCAGAGGCGGTTTCGGATGAGGAGAGAGCTTTTCGAAAGCATCTTGAACGCAATTGTCAATCATGGCCACTACTTTGCAAGGAAGATAGATGTCATAGGCCGACAAGGTCTATCGCCTCATCAGAAGCTTACATCTGCTTTTCGCATGCCAGCTAATGGGTGCTCTACAGACTCAACTGATGAGTATTGCCGACTTGCGGAGAGTTATGTTATTGAGAACCTAAAGTGCTTCTATAAGGCAATTGAAGCCATATATGGAGCCATATACCTCCGCAAGCCAAATCGTGAAGACTTGAAGAGGCTTCTACGCAAGGCAAACAAAATAGGCTTCCCTGGCATGATAGGAATTCTCTATTGTATGCATTAGGAGTAATAGAATTGTCCTACTACTTAGGCTGGCCAATTCAAGGGCCGTCATAACAAACCAACCATCGTGCTCGAAACTGTGGCGTCTTACGACACATGGATTTGGCATGCTTTTTTTAGTTTCCTGGATCAAACAACGATATCAACATTCTTTGGTCTTCTTCTCTATTTGATAATGTTGTCAATGGATGGGCACCAGAATTTCGGTACAAGGTAAATGGTAATAGGTATGAGCTAGGTTACTACCTAACTAATGGTATTTATCCTAGTTGGTCTACCTTTGTCAAAAGTTTTTCTCATCCCGATAGTGAAAAGAAGAAATTATTTTCGCATAGGCAAGAGTCTTATAGGAAGGATGTGAAGAGAGCATTCGGGATCCTACAAGCTCGATGGGCCATTGTTAGAGGGCCTGCACGATTATGGCAGACCGAAGACCTCCATTCAATCATGATGACGTGCATAATTTTGCACAATATGATTTTAGAAGATGAGTACATTGAAATTGAAGAAGATTCAAATGAAGATGTGGATGATGACCAACCAACACATGCGAGAGCTATTGCAAGAGATGTTGAATATCTCGCTCCAACCACATGAGACCCGACAGGATAGGGTCACCTTAAGTAAGTATATGAGACGTTTAAATAGAATTCAAGCTCCTCAATGTCATGACACACTCCACAAGGATTTGGTTGAGCATGTATGGTGCCGAGAAGGTGAACGTTGATGATGTTGGTTAAGCATTTATGTAATAATTTTAAGTGTACTATGTTGTTATTTTCTAGTAATAAATTTAAGTGTCTTCTTGTGCAAAGTATTTTGTCTACTACGTTGGATAAATTATTGAATGGAGGTTGAATTATTGAAGGCATTTATTCTACATCAAAGTGTGGAATAATAAGTACAATAATTATTGAAGGCATCTAGATTAATAGAAACAATAATTAATAAACCACATAAACTTAATACAACCGATAATTCATAAACCACATAATTAATAAACTACGTAAACTTAATACAAACGGCAATTAATAAACTTAATTAATAAAGCACATAATTCATACACTACATAAACTTAATAATCATATCCACCATCTTCACTTGGTGATGGACTTCGTACAGGACTTGGGATATAGGGTTCAGAGGATTCATCATCTTGAAACATACTCCTTAAGGCAGACTTTCGCAAAATTTCTTTGCTTACCATGTAAGAACTTCTTCCTCTCTTGAGTGTATTTGCTAAGGTCCTCCATCATCAAATTAATTTCAAACCTTTATTGCTCCTTATCCGAGATTTCCTTCATTTGCAAACACATTCGGGCCGTTTCTTCTTGGCGAGCACTATGTTCGTTTAATTTTGCAATTCCGGTAGCAAAGTGTCCACTCATTAGATCTTGGGACTTCCTTTTTCTCTTTGCTTCATTTTGCTTATCTCTTCCCGAGAGCCTTGCAAAAGAAGGAGATGGGGTCATTTCATTGACATCTTCATCTCCGGCATTTGTATGTGCGGCTTACGTGGAAATAATCTTCACCATTGTTGGTCTGCATCGGTTCCCCACCTCAGACAATCCTTGAGGACGTCCCAAGCATGTTGCAACTTAAAAACTTGCTTTTTTGGTGTTACTCTTGTCTTGTAAATTTCCATTTCTTTGTCACCCTATGCAAAAAATACATAAAAATAATTAGTTGCAAAATAATATTATGTAAATGACAAATAAAATATCAAGAACAAAACTCACAATTTTTGTGGCGCTTCTTCCACTAGCCATGCCAACCACGGCTCTCTCCAAGCTTCCCTTCCATAAAGTGCATGCTTTGTTGATAGTCTTCCACCGATCATAAACACCACCACCGTCCCGCCCGCCGCCATTGCAACTTTGCAATGATTTTATCCCATAAAACCTTCTTATTTTGATTTGTGCCAATTGCACCGTCTTTGCTAACAGAAACCCATGCTAAGCATAAAGCACCATCTTCCTCACAGGTCCAATTACGACCTCTAAAATGCTCTCTTGTCATGTTGAACAATTTGGAAATGGAAAGATAAATTGGAAGAATTGTAGGAGAAATTTGAGTTTTGTGTGGATGTTTGAACAAATGCATAGGTATTTATAGAGTTTTTGAGTTAAATGATTTTTTTTAATTATTTTAGCTGTTGGATTTAAATTTGGGCCGTTAGATCTTTTTTTTACCATTAAATTTGATTATATTCGATCTCAACCGTTAGATTCAATGTATTTAAAAATAACATATTTTAAAAAAAAAATTGAATCTAAACCGTTGGATCAACCAACGGTCCAAAAAGCCCAATCGTTGGATGTTAAATATAGCCGTTGGGTTGAATTTGGTGGCCGACACACGGGCTGACAAGGGGCCCACCCTATCGAGAAACACTTGCAAGCCCACCACGTGTGGGCCGTTGGCGTGTAGGTGGGCCGAGACTGGCCCAAGTTCCAGCAAGTCCACGCGCATGGGGGGGATTTGGCCCAACTTTGGCATTTGGCTTTTAGCCCAATGTTTTAGCTTGGGTTGGGTTGAGTTTGAGGGGAAATTTTGGGGGGGGTAATTTGGCTTTTAGCCCACCATTGGAGTTGGTCTAACAAAAAATTATTTGAAATGGAGATTATTTAATATTTTAAATATATAAAATAATTGAACAGTTCATCATGAATACGTTCTTTAGTGCTCAAACAGTCGATTTGTTTCATCTATTTGAATGATTAACGGATCTCCGATTCGAATATTTTTTGCAAAGATAATTTTGAAATAAATAGTTTCGATTATATAGTAAAAAGATTTTATTCAAAAAATATGGAAGAGGTGCAATCTCTTATTGGTGGAAAGCAAGTATAACCTTCGTTACTATCTAGTTCTTTATATCGTATGTCAAATGAGACCTTAAGAGCAACTCCACCCTTGGAGCCCTCCCCCCAGGCAATCCACCATTCAATCCACCATGTGAACAGTAACTACCCTAATAAACAGTAACTGCCTTTTGCATCTCCACCGTTGCACTTGAATAGCCCTGACAATAGGCAATAAAATATTATTAATTTTTTTTTTTACAAAATAATACTAAATAAATTTATTTGTAATTTCGAATAAGATATTTTAAATCGTTCTCGTTGCGCCACGTGTCATTTACCCAAAACGACTATTATTGGTCATAGATTTCGACAAGATTTTTATCCAATGTCATCATGCCACGTGTCGTTATCTTTTCAGAATCTTTGAAGATAGATTTCGATCAAATTTTAAATCGTTCTCGTTACACCACGTGTCATTATCTGAAAAGATAATTATTGGTGATGGATTTTGATAAGATTTTTATCCAATGTTGTCGTGCCACGTATCGTTTTCTTTTCAGAATTTTTAGGATAGATTTCAATCAGATTTTTAACGAATGATGGCATGCAACGTGGCACTATCTACAACCTAATCATTTCATAATCCTCCATATAATCCATCATTCATCCTTTTAAATCTCACACCAATTTTCTCAATATCTCTATCATTATTCATAGTTTCTGCTTCCTTCTTCACCAAATCAAAATCTGTATCATTATTCATAGTTTCTACTTACAATGTCTTCTTCTTCAAGCATGATGTGGGAAATCGATCAAGAAGAGGAAGACTTGTTTAACCAATCTGAAGGAATGTTCAATCTCCATATAGCCCAAAACGAAGAAGGAGAGATGACGAAGCAAGAATGGCCAGAGACTCACATTCTTGTCGAGTCATCCAAGTTATGGCTCAAATATGCAGGCCCACCCATTCCAGAAACCTTGATAGAAGCAGGCAACAACGAGATGTGGAGCTGTTGGACGATTATTTTGTCCATAATAGTGCATTTCCTGATACATACTTCAAATGTCATTTTAGAATGGAACGACATTTGTTCAACAAAATCATGATTGCTGTTTGCAACCATGATTCTTACTTTGTGCAAACGAATGATGCTGGTTGTGCTATGGGTCTCCTTCCTGAGCAAAAAATTACTGCTGCGCTGCAGATGCTTGCGTATGGAGTATTTGCAGACCAAGTGGATGAGATAGCGAGGATGGGGAAATCAACCATTCTTGAGTCCCTGATGAGGTTTTGCGGAGCAATCGAATCTATCTACACCGCAGAGTACCTCCAGAAGCCTACTCACATGGACTTGGAAAGACTTCTGAAGAAGGCCAAGATGCGAGGTTTTTCTGGGATGATTGGGAGCATTGATTGTATGCATTGGACATGGAAAAACTGTCCAAGTGCATGGCAAGGCACTTATGGAGACAGAAAATGAGCAAAAAGTATCATTTTGGAGGCGGTGGCATCTTTTGATACATAAATTTGGCACGCCTTTTTTGGGGTTCCGAGAGCTCAAAATGACCTCAACATCCTTGCCCAATCCCCAATGTTCGATGATGTCCTACAAGGAAAGGCACCAAAAGTCGCGTATAAGGTCAACGGACGTATGTACGACGGGCCATACTACCTAGCTGACGGTATTTACCCAAGGTGGTCAACATTTGTCAAAACAGTGCCACGTCCGCGAAGTGCAAAGGAAAAACACTTTGCAAGCTGTCAAGAGGGGTGCAGGAAGGATGTGGAGTGTTGTTTCCTTATCATCCAAGCTCGCTGGGCGATCGTCAGGGGTGCTACCAGATTGTTTGATGTAGAGTCGCTTCGATCCATCATGATGACGTGCATCATTCTTCACAACATGATTGTGAAAGATGAGTACGATTATGAAGCCGTTGATGAATATGAGCCAGACACGATAAACAATTCAAGAACATGTATATATTATGCTCATGACGCCACCGATAAGCCCGTGCAACATGAGCCATTAAAAAGGGATGGACGTTACAATGAAAGGGTCATTCAACGATATACTGCATTTCAATGGCCAGACATGCACAATGCCCGGCAAAATGACTTAATAGAGCACCATTGGGCATTGAAACAAGCTGAAGATAATTAAGTTCATTTAGTGTGTTTTTTATTATTTGGTATGTTTATATAATTTTATTTGGTGTGTTTTATTTTAGTTCATTTAGTGAGGTTTTTATTATTTGGTGTGTTTATGTAATTTTATTTGGTGCATTTTATTTTAGTTCATTTCGTGAGTTTTTTTATTTGGTGTGTTTATGTCATTTGAATAAAGATTCTCTTATAGTATAAATATATTACCATATTAAATAAATTTACTCTCACTTTAAATAAAGTACTAAATTCAATAAATTGGAAACAACATAAAATACTCAATTCAATAAATAATAAAGGGAAATTTTATTTGAACCCATCTAACCTCTTACTACACCCAACTTAAATTCTAAAACAAGATGAAATTAAGAATAAAACTAAAATCTATCCATAAACCCATACTCAATAATCAAGTTCTACCATCACACAATATTTATCCTACATTCATTCTGACTAAATTCCTAAGAGCTGCCACAAAGCCCTACGATCACCTAATAATAAAATCTGGTTGCTTTTTGTTTCCTCTCTAGCTTCATGTTAACTCGATTGGCAAGAGCAATAATTACAAACAATATCATCATAAGAAACAAAAGAGTCAGAAAGCTTTCAACACATCGAAATGTTTT